GGCCAGCAAGGCGCACGAGAGTTTCCACAATTTTGAGAATGATGGAGCGAGTTGCCTTAACACGTTGGCGACGATGTCGGTCAATGCTGACCGACAGGCACTCTGTCACATGGGACGATGTCGGTCAATGGTGACCGACAGCTTGAAAGTAAGCAAACTTAGATAGAACCCGTGACTTTTTATTTCAACGTTTACTTCAGTGTCCTAAGTTACTACACTTATCTGCGAATTATGATCTTCCTAATTTCTGGGAGTTTTTTCTGAATTAGTTATCATTGGCAGAAACGCGCTGTCAATTGAATCACTACCACAAACTTTCTACCGTCAACAATCTGAAAATCTCACTAAAAATGTTCAAATCGACCTTTACTGATTGAATAACCGTCAGTAGAATGTCCACTTCTAGCCTTAGGTTCCCATGATGGTCATATAGGCTCAGTCTTACTCATAGGCAGGACAAAAGTACCTATCCAGTCCATCAACTGCCAAATATTTCACAAACAATTTCTTGAGCTTGGAATGATTCGTTCAAATCTCTTATTCGATTATGAAGAACAAGATAACAGTCAAACAAAGACTAATTCCGTCAGGAACGCCAAGTTTTTTGTGTCGTTCTTGAGTGAAAAATTTGTAGAAGATTTCAGATGTGATCAGGATACCAGTACCATCTAAAGGAGAGCTCATATTGATAATAGAAATGAAGAACGCGTGAAATTGTGCCTTCAGAACCTATTCTAACCTGAGGTTTGAGAATGCCAGGCGATGTCACTGAAATTCACCCAGTATTCAGTAGTAACAACTTTTCCTTGTTTCTAAACGTGTCTGGAGTGCTCTAGTCAAAGGCATTTTGTGCATTTCGAGATTTTACAGAGCTACAAATAGATTTTGCCCTGTGTTATCGGCGCTTTGCATGCAAAAATTGCCTTGTCCCGTGCGTGCGACAAGGTAAAAATAGCTCGTCGTCAACGTGTTAATAAATACTTAGCTGATCACATTTTCTCCATACTTGGGTTTCAGCGTCTCTAGCAATTTATTAACAACCAGTTTAGTTCCGCACGCTACCTCGCACTTGACACGGCAGGCTTCGTTGACACTGGATAGTCTGTGGAACGCTAGCTTCCACAGCTGAAGAAGCGCCCCAATTGGCATCGGAAATTGCCCTGACCGACCTTCCCATGGCCTCACCATTCTTGCCGAAGCTCACCGTTTTATTCGCGCGATAGAGTGCAAACGTAAAGTGGAGTACGTAAGCAACCACCATTCGTTAAATGTCTCGATAATGCGGACGCATAATATTTGATGCCAACGATATTCAAATTGAAATCCGCGGTGGTCACTATTGTTTTTTCAAACATCCACCAAATATTCCTGGAAATTTGGACAGAGTTTGGTTTTTTCTTTTTAGCATTTGGTTTTCAGCGATCTCTATGTTCTTGAGTAACGTGGGTGGCTGCTTCCTTTTGGTTCGGTTGCAGCTGCTACGGTTATTGTGAGAGAGCTCGACTCAACCGCTCATTTCTATTCGAGATACTCAAGTGACACATACAGACGGAGCGCGAGTGTTTAATAGCCGTCTCGAGAGGCCAGAGTATGGCGGGAACATCACTGTGACTGGTTGGTGCTCCATCCAGGCGGTCACGTCATCACTGATGAGCGGCTCTGGATTTTTGATCGACAGGGGGCTATAGCAGTTGAAAGAGAATCTTTAGCTGTAAAAGCAATGAACATTAGTCGAATAACAACCAACAAACAGACGTAGAACCGAAGTCTTCATAAGAACATAACATGCTCGGCGGTGGAGAAGAGTCGCGTCCATTCTCAACTACATCGATGACATTCACTGAAAGAGCTCGGCTGCTGTATACGTTCCTTTCCAAATGTCCGATCACTCTGAGCGTGACCATGCAGGTGTTCTCTGTAATGCAGGGAACTTGTTGCCTCCACTTTTATTCACGATCCACCCCCTTGCTCGAGTCGACGGGTGCTTGGTCCATGAAATAACATGTTGAGATTGTGGCGGGCCCGTCCTGGATCTGCAACGACGAAGGAGTTCGGCCTAAACTCATCCGTGCGTCTTTTCGCTCGTGCAGCTCTCTCCTAGCGGCGTGCTTCCTTCAGCTCGTTTGACGCGACCTTGATCTCTGGCATGACATGCAGCTTCTCCAAAAATAGCAAAACTTGTCTGCCATTAAACGGCGATCCCTAATCTTGAGTTCGTCCTAGGACACATTGCGGAATGAGTGTAGGCCTCCGACTCTAAAACGTCGGTACAGTTTTTTGCACGATTGCTTCAAAACCTCCGGCGGCGCTCGTCATAAATCGTAGGAACTCATCAGTAAGATTACGAAGTCCGATGAGTGACCGCAAAAGCAACCCATGACTGGTTGGCGCGCGATGCCACGTGCCATCGGTTTGTATTTTTCGACATGCCCTTCTGTCATTTTTCTGCCACTCCACGGCGACGAAATGGACTGTATAGAACCTGTCAGTTGCACGGAGCCTCTGTACTGTATACATGTGGAGTCTGGCAGGCAGTCGAACGTGCCGGCAAAGGGTTTGGCGGCACCCTGAGGTTTACCTCTCGTGCCCTTGCTCAGTCGCTTGCCTCACCGCGGAAACGGTCGCTCCACCGCCTCCGTGGCGAGGCAAGCGCTGCGTGTATTTTGAGTGTCGCCCTTTGGGTGACTGTAGTAGAAGAGGGTATTGTGCACTCACCGTGCGAGGCATTACATCCTCTAACGTTGGCGCTGGAACGTGCGGTTACACAGCAGTAGTGTGGCTGCGTGCTCCAATGCTAACGTGGATTACGGTAGCGGACTATCAAAATTTTGTCAGGAACATGTCGGAACATACATACAGTAGCGGTCAAAAGTTTCGAAACTTTTCTATCTTTGCTCTAGCGTAGCCGATAGGCAATGAAATCGCCCCGAATTAACATGTTATATACAGAATCAAGTGTAGATTACGACGGGCTACATTATTATTTGGAAACTAGAAACGCATTTGAATAGTATGAATTTTTATAAGAAATGGCGCGTCAAAAGTTTGGGAACTTCTCGATTCCGGAGCGAATTCGGCAAAATAGCCCTCGAATCTACATGATAAATTAGCTAGTCTATGAGTAGCTGTTAATTTCTATGTCAGCGTCGTTTTTATTGACATGGAGTTGGTTATAAAATAATTTTAGGACTTTTTAGTTGAACCCTGCACAGTGTGAAGTAAATTACATTGTTTGGTGGGATTCTTAAATGAAATGTGGGTTAAACGACATGCCAGTTCTTCTGCGAGATGTAGAACTGAATTAGACTTCAAATCTTAACTTGGTCACTTCATACCAGCTTCTTTTTTGGTTTTGGAAGGCGGCGGTGAGGAAGCAGGTCTGCATTGGGTCATTTCCACGATAGAAAACCCATCTTTTTCGGCTAGTTCTAAGTATCGGAGGTAAGCATTGTATTCTACAGACTTTACTTGTACTTAGCCCAACCCACATTTCGCTGGATACCTAGAACTGGGGAATCGCAGTGGCCGGACACACCTTCATCCATGACAACACTTCCGCTATTTCTGACTGTTGGAATCTTGTGCTCCAAATTCCACTTGAGAAAACACTTCACAGGGTCTATTTCTAGGAAGGAAGAAATCCCATTCGTAGCTGAGGACAAAGTTTCACCTCTCGCCTTCGGTCCATACTAGCCATTAGTGTGCGGAGGCCAGTTGGGCCATCCTGCTCTCGAAGCCCAACAATGGCTTCTTGCTGGGATAACATCCGTAACATTCACCAGGTCGCAACAGATGTTGCGCTACACTCGGACTTTGATAAAATTAGAGGAAAACTGGAAAAAGCCGTCTCTCCATGAAATCATCTCAGGAAAGTAGGAATGTCGGGGGTACGGGACGTGCCAACCACCCCCGAAGTATTTGAGGAGGGCTTTCTTGTGAGGATATTTTTTGTGAATGATCATTCTTCACTCTTCCTCGACTCCAACAACACCAGAAACATCCGATGCTATTGCTTCCGTGGAGACTGAATTACTAAGAAACGATTTCAATTTCGTATTCCGGATTGTAGGGTTCAATAAAGGGATTCCCATGGAAAAACTGCTTGCTTTGCATATGAATTCATTTTGAAATTTCACATTACTCAATGGTTTAACTGAATATATCAAAAGCAGGTGAACATTGAAGAGTATGAATCATAATGATAAGGGAAACAAAAAGATTCCAAACTTTTGACGCGCTATTTCTTGAAAGAAATCTTATTTCTCAAAAATGATGATACATTTTCTAATTTTAGTCTTTCTGCAATATTCCAGACTTGATTTGGTATGTAATATCTAAATTTGAGATAATTTCGTTATGTGTCGACCGCGCTAGATCAAAATAAAAAAGTTTCCGAACTTTTGACCGCTACTGTACATACGTACATACATACGTCCCATGTTAGACCATTCCGTCGCGCTGCTGCCCTCATACGGACTCTGAATGAAGCGTTCCCCTGGCTGCAGATGTCGTTCCAGCGCTATGAGGACCAGCCTCATCGGTATTCCCGACGGCAGTATCTGGCCATACAAGTTATTGCCGTGACGATTTTGATTTCCAGCAAGTTCTTCGCCAGCAACTCCCAGTCCATAGGCGTAAACAATAACCTCGCTGTTGTAGTCCACTTCGGTGTGGACCCTTCCAAAAGACGACGGCAGACCTGAAAAAACTTGCTGGTGGGCCACGGTGGAGGCGCTAGGGACGTTGATGTGTTTCAGCACTGCCAATGCAGTGGTGATGTGAGCACCTTCATCGTATTCTACGGCTTACGGGAACAAAGCGGTGTGCTCGAAGCGCATCCCCTGCGCGGCTTCAATGGCTTCCGAGTAGCTGTAACATCATCGTTTATGGGCTTGCATCGCTGGGGCCAGGGATTGGGAGTTTTCCATACGCAACTCCTCCTCCTTGCGTTCGCCTCCCCAGCACTCTTCTTCAGAAATCGAAAATGTCACGTTGGCCTACTGGAACATATCCGAAATCTTTTTAAACGCCATCGGGGGCTTAGGAGTCGGATGGCTACGTGCGCCTTTGGTCGAACTGTCCACACTCGCATTTTCGGCCCCAGTTTAGCGGATGGTAGATGGTGATCAGCGTCTTGAAACATATAAATTTTTCAGAAACAGTAACAGCATCGGTACCTTTCTTTGGTCTTCCCCTCTTCCTGCGGGTTGTAGCCGTCCTGAAAGGTTCGTGTCTCCGGGTGGCAAGTTCACCAGCATATCAAAAGGTACCCTCACTGCGTCTCTGTCCCCTTCAATCATGGCTACTAGGCCACTATTCTCGCTCGCATCTAGTACACGATAGGACCTTTCCATGGGTCAGTCAGTCCCAGAAGTAAAGAGCTGGCGACAGCAATGAGAGAAGCTTCTACAGGTTATAATCGAAGTCGTGAGAAACGCTAAAGACGAATGGCTGGTCAAAGGCCTAAAGCGAGTATTGTAAAGAACCCTGATACATCAACAAGGAAAGAACCGTGGTCAGGGGGTGAGCAGAGGAAACTCCTACTGAAATCCTACAACTGCGACAAGCAGGGCATTTCAAAAGGGTTTTACGCTCCCGAGAAGTCGAATGCCAAGGAGAAGTCAGCGCATGCCAGTCATCAAACAGGAACGGCGAAAATAGCTACTGAATTCCTAAAAAAGTGGATGTGCAGTGTGGTGGAGGCCGGAGATAAAGGAGAGCAAACAACAAAGAAGTTGACAGCAGTTGGACACAGGTTCCCGATTTAGCATTATACTGATGAGAATGCTCCAAACAGCTTGGAAGTCAGGCTTTGACTTAGATGCTGATGTGGAAGAAATACCACTGGAACAGCAGAGGCAGGTATTTGATGCGTCGGGTAACGAAGGTCCTTTAAGGGGAGCCATCAGGCTAACGCTGAAAATATGTATACAGCGGAACAAATGAGCGTATCGCTCTATTTGTCATGTCCGGAGGAGGTGCATGATTGCTCTAGGAACAAATGCACTTCAAAAGCTTCACTATGGCCCAGAAACAAGTAGAAGTAACCGCATATCGGGAAGAGAAAGTGCCAAGGTTACTTCATAGCAGCAGCACATGTGAGGAGTGCAATGAAGCAGTGAAAGGACCTTGTGAAACGATACCTCATGCTTTCGCGGTGAGCGAACAAGCTCACTCAGACAACGCTAGTGGAACGCAATTTCGAGATCGGTGAAGCAATGCCCACTCAGCAGAAAGCCTGTCCGCTACAATCAGGCACTCGAGCGGAAGATTCTGAATGATTTGCAAGACCGAAAAATTATTGAACCAAGTAAATCGAGTTAACTTCGTCCATCCTCTTGGTGCGGAAGAAGGATGCAACTCTCTGATTGTGCGTGGATTGTCGGAAGTCCGATCAAGTGACAAAATTAGACAGTTATCCCTTGAGAACGCTTGTCGCGATTTCGCAAAATCTGAATGATGGAAGATAGTTCTCGACTTTGGATTTATCGTTAGGTTACTGGCAAGTCAGCTTATCGGCTGATGTTAAGTAAAAATCTGCGTTTATGGCTGCTGAAGGTTTATACCAATTTTGGATTTGCCATTCGGCTTAGCGTCACCGCCACCCGTCTTCCAGCGACTGATGCATGCTGTTCTGGACCCACTGCTGGGAGAGGGAGTGTCCCGCTTCCAAAATGGCATCATGTTAGCGACAGGAGCGGTGAAGCAAAATCTACGAGCCTCAGAACGAATTTTTTGGGAATTGTCCAGAGCACGCCTCAAGTAGAACCCAAAGGAATGCGTGATACTGGGGAGGAAAATTGAATTCCTTGGCCACGTAATCGACCACAATAGGTTGCACATGGACCCACCCAAGGTCGAAGCGATCATGAAGTACCCACTGCCACAGACTTGATCGGACTTTCGGACGTTTCGGTATGTGTTCGTACTAGCGATAGTGTACTGGGAATCTCAAAAGTAGCAGCGCCGCTGCATAAGATGACGTCCGAAAACGTGCCTTTCAGGTGGGATTCTACAAGAGAGTCATGCTTGACAAGCTATAGTCAATCATTGCACAGAGGCCAATGCTGGAGCAGCCAGGTATTGAAGAAAAGATGCGGAAGAAAGCCTTTCAATATTCATACTGGCTCCACTATTCGAGGACTTGGTGCCAGAGTCAAGCGTGCGTTGAGGAATTCTCGACAGACAGGGGGGGGGACGTAGTGGCCCGCTGGGAGGAAGTACATCACTGTGGGACGATAAACATCAAGGATTGAATCGATGCCGTGGAAGGGCGGAGAATTTCCAAGAATAAGTCCGCCCACATGATATCTTCGTGATTCAGAAGTGTCCGCGTAGCAATTTTCAGTTACTTACGTCTATACTTAGGTCCGCACTGTATGTACTACTTTCCGCTTAAAAATACACTAGTGCAATTACATCATTGCATCACTGCAGGTGCTCGCAATTAGGTACTTATGATTTATGGAGTTTGAAGGTCACGTCAACAGCTCAACAAAGGATTCCGGAAGAAAGAATTACCAACTAATAAATTTGTCTGCTGACATATCAATTTTGAAATGAATCTTAAGGAGCGTCGCGAACAAAACGTCGCCGATTGAGAACTACGACTCAAACATCCTACAAAACATCTTCTGATTTAGTTCGAAGGTGAGAAATAGCTTATACTGCCTTCATAGACCAACTTTGGAAAAACAATATTCCACTACTTATTAAGGACAACACTGCTCATCATCCTCGCTATCATTCTCGTGGCACTGCTCCTTACTTACATATTTCATATACGCAGCCGAAACAGAGTTGAGTGGCGAAAAGGTTAGCCTCTGAATTATTTTGATGTAGCGTTGAGCAGTCCTTGATTTGTAGGCAAAAGAGTGTTGTCGTCTGTTTCCCGTGCACGGAACGCCACATTTGTGCATTGTCCCCTGATTCACACTACAACCGAAGGTTCACACAAAAGTCCTGCATGAGTTGGCCTTTAATGAGCTCCTCTGAACGTCATTAGAGTCGCATTGTGAGTCATTTCCACGGTCTCTCTCCATTGCAACAAAGCCTACGCAAACAGCAAATAATCGTTACATCAAGGTTGCCTGAAAAGAAATTCACGATGTCTTTTATTCTAATTTTAGTGAGCATTGTTGATTTGGTTCAAGTCAATGGTGTGGCTGTTTGAGCGGGAACAGCCTTTATGCCAACTTGTGGGCTCACACATTTATAAAGAACAATTGTCATAGTTTAAGTCGTTTCATTGGAAATGAGTAAGCAGATGAACTTTCTACGACAATGCAGTATTACTCCGCTTTGTTCTGAGTGGGTTAGAGATCGAGGGCGGCCCCTCAGTCAGGTTGATAGAAGGTTAACACACGAGGACTATTTCCGAACACATCCAAGGCGCATAACCGAGTGACTGCCCTTTCCATTAACCGTTCCCTAACTGAGCATGTTCCACTTTCCAAATATTACTATATCCGTGGAGAGCATGAGACAGAATAAGTAATGAAAGGAAGAGTAAATAAATTAAGAATATGATGTCAAAAACTTGATCTTTACTAAGGTTCTAACACACTTTGTTTCAGAAGATATTCCATTGAAATTAGGTTCCTAAAACAGAATAGCAACCATTCGCGACACAATAAAATGTCATGTATTGTTTCGACTGGAGGAGTTTGGCTGTTAGAGTTTTAACTAACAGAAAGTTTGTTCAGTTTTAGATGGTAGATAGCAATACGTGCGATTTAGGTGTCCACATACATAGCGTAAAAGTTTGAAACTTCCTTATTTTGAACTAGCGCGGCCCACATAACGAACTATCTCAATTTAGGCATTACAATACAAAATCAATTCCACAATAGATGCAAGAATCGCTTTCAAAAATCTATGTTCATTTTGAAAATAATATTTTTTCAAGTAGTGTGCTGCCAAAAAGTTTGGGAACTTTTCTTCCCTCGTCATTGACCTACCTCAATGTTCACTGTTCGCTAATTTTACTCAAAAATTGAGTAATGTAATCCAAAATATTCATATGCAAAGGAAGCAGTTCTCATGAAAGTCCTTTCAACCCTGCGATCCGATACAAAATTGAATATTGTTTCTCAGTGTTCAGTGTCTACGAAAGAAATATTTTTTGATGTTTTCTGCGTATTGGAGTCGATTAAGCATGTAGCGAGTAATACTCCACAAAACAGGTACAATTCCAAGAAAAATGGTTCTCCTCAAATACTTCCAAAGGGCGGTGGCACGTCCGTACCCCCGTAGCCCACCGTAAGAGACACTTTTTCACTGTTTTTTTCTCTAATCATATAAAAGTGCCAAAGTTGCAGTTCAATCCTCCGCCGCGACCCATAGTTGAGTATACGAATGACGTTCATCCAAGGAAACCATGTGGAGCTCCAAGACAGAGTGGCCTCAGCTGGCTTCTTCAATCCACCACTTAACAATGATCGAAGTGAGTAAACTCTGTCCTCAGCGACAGAAGGAATTCTGTCCCTGATGTTTGGACTGTAAGTATTCTGTCAAATGATGCCTCATTGAGCGTAGAGTCCAACATATTCAGCAATAGTGAGTGTTGCCATGGATGACTGTGTCCGACCACTCAGGCACTACCGGCCTCTTTAGAACTCGCGAAATGGGCTTGAGATAAGATACAAGATAGTTTGAATAATACATGCCCCCTTGCGGTTGCAGAATAGCCGAAAAATATGTTTTCTTATGGGCAGATACTACATGCAGCTATTCCCACTGCCCGCCTTCCTCAACCCAGACAACAAGCTGTTACGCATGAGCCAACGGTCCCTGAATCTTATTGAGTACTGACGGAAGAGCTGCAATGTCATTAGTCCACCATTTCTATTAATAATCCTAACCAAACTATTTATTCAAATCACAGTGAGGCATGGTTGGAACTTAAAAGCCTTAAAATTATTTATAATCCAAACGCCATTCAAAATAAAATCGACAGCCGACATAGAAATATACAGTACTTCAGATAGGGTAAATTTACATGATAACGAGCGAGCTAATTGCCCTTATTCCTTCGAATGGAGAAAGTTTCTAAAACTTTAACATGCGCCATTATCTTATAAAAAGTCGTTTACAAATGCCATCTTTGTGGTCAGAAATGACATTGCCCCTCGTAATCTACACTCGATTATATACATAATGGTGTGAATCTCGGAATTTCGTTTCTTTCGGTTACCTTCTAGATTATCCAAGATAAAAAATTCCAAACTTTGACCGCTACTGTACATTTTTCCGGATCCATAGAGTTTTTAAGCAATACATAAAAGTGGGATATATAAATATAGAAACGGAAGTTATTCCCATTTTTTCAGAGCGTCAGACAGCACAAGCATCTTCCTTTGCGGAATCTCTTCTAGTCCTGAGCTTGTGAAAAAAAAAACATTATCGAACAGGAGTTGCTATAAAATGAGATGAAAAATAACCAATTTGATTCGCTCCTGAAATTTTTGAAAATGAAAAAACGCAGTTTGAACTAACGCCTCCCAGTTTTGTTATTAATGAATTGTTTTCGTTCAGAGCCAAATGAAAGCACTCTGAAAAAGAAGACGTGGCTTCCAAGGTCAGTTTCTGGTATTTGATCTTGCGTTTTTTCTTGTTGTGTCATGAAGGAAAATGGAGGAATGTTGAGATTAGTGTTTACTAGAAGTGAAATGCGCTAGCGATTATTACCAAAAATAAACTACCCCGCATGATTTTCAGAAAGCAATCGGCTTTGTACGACATGATCTGGCTATACGGACATTAATGTTCGAGTACTAAACGCGGTTTAAGTAAAATCAGGCGTTTATGTTGTTAACAAGCTTATTTATTTTGTCCGCAATCGTGAAATGGATTATTTCACCTTCAGACGAAAAATTCAGCATTCGGTTGCCACAACAGTGCCTGAAGCCCTCTCGCTCTCTAGCCGAAGACCGTGAAAATCAGTGTATGAATCAGCTTGAATTGTTTTGATACAAGAGTTTCAAATAGGCATGACAGAAGACAGACTGGGAACGGGTTGAGAGGAAGGTAACGGATGGAACAGTAGAACGTGAGAGAAAGCGGCATGGCCACAGCCCACGTCCTGCTATCCATACACGTTCTTCGCGAAGGGAGCCTAGAATAACCAAACACATAGGAACGGACGAAATCGAACATGTACTTAGGTAAAAATCATCTTCAACAACTGTGAAGCCATAAGTGCTTTTTCCCTGCGAAGAATTTGCCTCTCTCTTCACGTACTCCTCCTGGCAAAACTTAAGCTGCAACAAGAAAGATAAACAACCGATAGAAAATCCGGAGGTGAAGAGAAGCAATGAGTAACAGCGACATCAAAAAATGAAGTTATAGCCTCAGACCCGACGCGATCAAACAGATGAATGCACAGCGCGGCAAGACCATCCACTATGTGATAGGAAGTCTTGGGCGAGACCGAATGAATAGGGGAACTAAGGCAACTTGTCATAAGGAACGAATGAATCCGCGAGTTGCGAAGAAGAACAAGAAAGCATACAACGGTGCAAAATCAACATGCACAACATTGCATCAGACGCGCCAAGCACCTCGCTCAAGGCTAGAGCACTGAAATGATGCTTTCTAAACAAGTTGGGAAGATAACCAATGGCATGCCAAAGCCGGCACGGCTCTTAATATCACCGTCGTGGAAAACGTAAGAGAGCAACGCATCAACCTTGAACGATCCAGCCGAAGTCAAAGAGCTATGAAGAATATAAGTGCACCTGAGCGAAAAAGTTCTCGCAAGACGTCTAGAGATAGCAACGATGGGCCCGTCTCACTGTGAACAGTTGTATTCAGAGTAGGGAAAGCAAGCGGGGAAGTTTGTGTCTAGATGGGGTGCCAATCCTGCATGAAAAGCTCAGAGTAACGTAGTAGGATGTTAGACCTCTTAATTGAACACAAGCAAATGCTGAAAAAGGATTCGGTGCAAACAGACAGAATCATCTCCCGCTCTCCAAACAGTAAGAATGAACGCGACATGCATGCTTCAACTCGCGGTGATCAAATACGCTCATACCCATAAAGCTGTAGGAGCGCTGTCACCCGAAGCTGCGGGCCTGTCCAAACAGAAACAATTCGGTTTTTCCTTACGTCAAAGAAGGGATAGTCCATCCAGCATTACTAGCAAGTTATGAAAAGTATAACAGAAGCGCCGACCCTGCTACCAGCTTCCTACAGAAGATGGCAATACGATCGGTTATCCGCGAGCGCTACAGAGATGCTCAGAGAACGAGACTTCCAAAACACCTGATCTCGCGGTAAAGGGAGCAATAACGTGAAGCCGAATCGTAGAGAGTAGTGCGCCAAACAAGCAATTAAACATGTCTGGCTGTGAGAAGTGAAATAAGACACTGAGGTGCCTTACGCGCAATGACTTCCGAAGCATCCGACCCTAAAGTTAGCCCATCGGTTTAGTTGGTTTCTTGGGTAAGCTGTTGCTGCCGGCTTCATTGGAACACCAGTTCTCTTTAGTAGTTGTATCTTTCTACTTGCACGTAATCACCAACAAAACTAGCTTGTGACATGATGGTGCGCTATCGGGCTCAACTCCAGACAAACTTTTTTTCTCCGCTCACTACATGTTTCGAAAATAGCGGGCAATGAAGGAATTGCTACATCTCTTTCCTTCGCCATTGGCACCAATTGACTCCCCCAACACCTTGAATCCATACAAGAACTATGGTATCGCTGCTCAGAATATGCACAGGCTCTTTTTCTTCTTCTCTCCCACGTAGTCCGCGTAGCAGGGTTCCGCTTTCTTAACAGTCGACGCACTTCGCTACTGTCCCTAGGCATCTATCTGGTCCGGATTTCACTTCCTGACTACGTCTTCCACCTCTTCTTTGGGCCTGCGCGCTCGCTTGCCTTGCGCTTCGAAGTTCTGCTTCCTTATTGCGTCCTAGCCTCTTATCACGTCCCCATACGCATCGAGACGCTGTCCCGTACCTTACTAGACGGGCATCTGCATACAGCCTGACCTCTCTCGTTATCTGACCCTTCCGCCTTCTGATCCACAGCCATCCTCATTCAGCGGATGCAAGTTGCCTTTCGTGACTCTCTGTTCGGGACCAGCACTCGCTGGCCGTATAAGCATCGCAGCCTCACCACGCCGATATCCCTTCCTTTCAGTGTCTGGGCCCTTCTTAGCGCAGAGTTCCATGACTTATACCACCACGTTGATCGTTGCCCGTCCACTGCCTGATCCCACTTTCGACTCACCGTTTTATCGCGCGATAGATTGCAAACGAAAAGGATACGTAAAGCAACCACCATTCGTTAATGGCTGATAATCGAGCGCGCGATATATATGCAATGAATTAAATTGAAAACGCGCGGTGCTCACTATTGTTTTTTCAAACATTCACAAATATCCTGAAACTTTGCAGAGTTTGGTTTTTTTCTTTTAGCATTAAGTTTTGTTAGTCGACCTCTATTAATTCTTGATAAACCGTGTGGCTGCTTCCTTTTGTTTGGTTGCAGCTAGCTACGTCATTGTGAGAGAGCTCGGATCAAGTCGTCATTTTATTAGACACTCAATGAACATACAGAACGCGGCGTGTTTAATAGCCGTCTCGAGAGGCGCCCAGCGTAGGCGGGAACATGAACTGTGACTGCCTGGGCTTCATCAGGCGGTCCCCGTCATCAGCTCGATAAGCGGCTCTGATTTTTTATACAGCGGGCTATACGCAGTTGAAAGAGAATCTTACTTGTAAAAGCAATGAACATTCCCACTATATATATCTCTAACGGATTGCTGTGTGTGTGCCTGACCGCAAAATTCTAACTTCACCCCCCTTTGAACCCAGACGCTCAAACTCTAAGAAACACGGCAGTGAACACTGACGCCGGTTCGGGAATTGATAACTACTGATAGGAGCTATAAAGGACGTCGAAATGTTGATTCACCAAAACTTCGTACACTGATCCGTTTATAGTGGAAGCAAGTTGCACTCACTTCTATGAATGTTGGGTGAGGCTGGGACCACAAGTGAGTGAACGATGTGGTAGCAACTGATAAAACTGATAAGCGGCGTCCAAAGTGAGGACCACCACCATTCGTTGCAAGCCTTGCGATTACATTGGAACTTGATTCTCAATAATTGTATAGATGGGTACGGAGCACGGAACAGGCGCGATGATGAAGTCATAACAAGCGATAACAGTTGATAAAGAAGTTATGGATTTTGAGTACGGCCTGAAATTCGTGCAAGCCTCGTTGTGACATAATATAAGCTCCTATACGTTGCCGAGGATGGACGGATAACGATTGCTAACATATGAACTGTATAACAAAACAGGAATGCTAAGAGCGTTGAAATCAAGTCCATCTCAACTTCGTTGCAAATTTTCACTGCAAGCGATCAGCTGCGAGGTTAAATTAATTCCGCCCCAAAGTGGTAATGAGCGCAACTGTATTTAAAACTGCGTTAAGCGTGCCTTCAGTTTAGCTGAACGAGGTCCTAACACGTGTAAGTGTTCCATTCCTAACCTTTCATCTAAAGAACAAAGAAGTGAGCTGCTCAAAAATCTCCACTTGGACTCACATAGAGAATTTTCATATATATCCCAAATTCCATCACAGCAACAGTCGCCGGTTAGAAATGACTGATAGTTACATTTCACATTACACACCAATTCTTCAATTGTGCAATCTAATAACGCTAACTCATCCACTCGATATCAATCAAGTGTTTCCGAAGTCATATAAGTGCAATTTTTTTCATCCCGATGCTACTGCCGCAACAACTACAAACTTTTTAGCAAAATTGGACATCTTGAAATCATATGACACACCTTCAAACATCTACTTTACGTCAGACACTCTTGACCTATCACAGCAAGTTGTCGAGCTTTGCACTAAGCCTACATGTGATCGCGTGCGTTGCGTGCGAAGCTAACTGTAGTCGAATAACAACCCTACCAACAGACGCAGAACGAATTCATAATGCTCGGCGGTGAGAAAGTGCCTATCCATTCTCAACTACTCGATAAATTTCACTAACAAGAGCTTCGGCTGCTGTAATACGCTTTCCAAATGTCGATCACTCTGAGCGTGACATTCGGTGTCTCTGTAATGCAGTGAAATCGTTACTCGCCCTTTTATTTCAGATCCACCTCCCTTGCTCGTCATCGATCCACGGTGCTCGTCCTGAAATACAGTTTGAGATTGTACGGGCCGTCCTAGATCTGCGATGACGAAGGAGTTCGGCCTCGAACTCATCGTTGCGTCTTTCGCTCGGCAGCTCGCGGCGGCTTCTTCAGCTCGTTTGACGGCGGCTTGATCTCGGCATACAGTGCAGCTCTCCAAAACTAAGCAACCTTGTCTGCCATTGAACGGCGACTCTAACTTGATCTCTAGACACATTGTATATATGAGTTAGGCCTCCGACTTAAAGTCGGTAAGTTTTTTCGCACGATGCTTCAAACGCTCCGCGGCTCTCCGTCATAAATCGTAAATTCATCAGTAAGATTACGAATCCATGATGACCGCAAAAAACTCAGTCTGTGCGCGCGATGCCACGTGCCCATCGGTTTGTTATTTTTCGACACGCCCTTCTGTACATTTCTTGCCCACTCCACGCGACGAAATGGACTGTATAAACCTGTCAGTGCACGGAGCCCTGTACTGTATACATTGGAGTCTGTCAGCCAGTCGACGTCGGCAAAGGTTTGCGACACCCCTAGGTTTCCCTCTCGGCCCTTGCTCAGTCCGCTCTCACCGCGGAACGCGCCCCAGCCGCCTTACGTGCGAGCAAGCTGCGTGTATTGAGTGTCCCCTTTGGGTGAAGCTGTGGTAATGGGGATTGTGCACTCACTCGTGCAGTCATACCTCCTCTAAACGTTCGCTGACTGCGGTTACACATGCAGTAGTGTGCTGGTGCGTCAATGCTAACGTGGATTCCGTAGCGGACTATTAAATTGTCCGACGTGTCAACATACATACAGTACGGTCAAAAGTCTCGACCAAACTTATCTACTTGCCTAGCAGTAGCCGATAGACAATGAAATTGCCCCAGAATTAACATTGTTATCGTCCAGAATCAAGGTAGATTACGACGGCTACATTATTATTCGAACTAGAAACTGCATTTTGAAAATGTGATTTTATAAGAAATGAGCTGTTAAAAAGTTTGAACTTCTTCGATTTTCCGGAGCGAATTCTGCAAAATAGCCCTCATCTTTATGGTAGCATTAGCCTATCTATGAGTACTGTTAATTCTATTCAGAGTCGTTTTATTGACATGAGTGGTTATAACATAATTTAGGAACTTTTAGTTGAACTTCACAGTGTGAAGTAAATACCTTGTTTTAGTGGATCTACTGAAATGTTGTTAAACGACATGCCTAGTTCTTCTCGAGATGAAATGAATAGACTTTAAATCTAACTTGGTCACTCATACCATTCTTTTTGTTAGAAGCCGCGTGAGGAAGCAGGCCTGCAGTGCCATTCATGACAAAAAACCCATCTTTTTCGGCTAGTCTGATAATCCGGGAAGCATGGTATTCTTAATGACTATACTGTACTTAGCCAAACCCACATTTCGCTGATACCTAGAGTCTGGGAATCGCCCGAGTGCCGGACACACCTTTCTCCTGACAACCACTTCCGCTTTTTCTGACTGTTGAATCTTGCTCCAAATGAGGTTTCCACTTGAGAAAACTTCACAGGGTCTATTTCTAGAACAAAGAAACCATTCGTAGCTGAGGACAAGTTTCACCTCTCCTTCGTTCCATATACCATTAGTGTGCGGTGCCATTGGCCATCCTGCTCTCGAAGCCCTAGCAAGGCTTCTTGCGTATCACATCCGTAACTCACACAGTCGCAACCGATTTCTCATACACCTCGGACTTGTTAAAATAAAGAAAACTTGAATAAGTCGTCTCTCCATGAAATATCTCAGGAAAGAAAGAAATGTCGGGTACCAGGACTTGCAACCACCCCCGAAGTATTTGAGGAGGGCTTTCTTGTAAGGATATTTTTGTAAACTTGACATACTTCCTTACTTACTTCCGCCTCCAACAACACTAAAACATCGATCTATTGCTATCGTGAACTTGAATACTAAAAACGATTTCACTTCGTATTCCGGATGTAAGTTTCAAAAGGATTTACCCATGGAAAAACTGCTTGTTGCCATCTGATTCATTTGAAATTACACATTACTCAGGTTTAACTGAAATATATAAAAGCAGGGTAGAACATAGAAGAGTATGATCATAATATAAGGGAAACAAAAAATTTCCAAACTTGACGCGCCATTTCTGAAAGAACCTTCTTTCTCAGAAAATATACATTTTCGGATTTCAGTCTTTCTGCAATATTCTAGACTTGATTGGATTAAGCTAACTTTGAGATAATTTCGGTCATGTCCGCCGACTAGATCAAAAATAAAAATTTCCCAAATTTACCGCTATTGTACATACATACAATACATACGTCCCTGTAACCATTCGTCGCGCTGCAGCCCTCCATACGGACTGCTGAATGAAAGCGTTTCCTCCGCTGCAGATTCTTCAGCGCTATGGAACAGTCTCACGGTATTCCAGACTGCAGTATTTAGCGAAAAAAAATTACAAGTTATTGCCGTGACGATGTTGACTTTCCAGCACAGTTCTTCGGCCAGCAACGTCCCAGTCCATATGCGTAAACAATAAAACCTCGGCTGTTATCCTTCCGGATTGAACCTGCAAAAGACACGGCGGGCCTGAAAAAACTTTCTGGGTTGCCACGTGAGCGCTAGGGACCGTTGATTTCAGCCTGGCAATTCAGTGTGATGTGGCACCCTTCACGTATTCTACGGCCTTACGGGCACAAAGCGTGTCTCGGTGAAGCGTCATCTCCTGCCGGCTTCAATGCACTCGAGTAGCTGTAACAGATCATCGTCCATGGCTGCATCGCTGGGCCAGGGAAGAACCAAAAAATTTGGAGTTTTCATACAGCCAATCCTCCTCCTGCGTCGCCTTCCATCACTCTCTAAATCATGTCACGTTGCCAACTGGAACATAATCGAAATCTTTTTTAACGCATCGGGGGCTTAGGATCGGATGGCTACGTGCGCCTTTTGTTCCAACTGCCAACTCGTGCATTTTTCGCGTGCCCAGTTCTAGCGCTTGTAGAAGGACAGCGTCTTGACATAAATTTTCAGACAGTACAGCACGGTACCTTTACTGTCTTCCCACTCTTCTGAGGGTTTGCCGTCCTGAAAGTTCGTGTCTCCGGTGCAAGTTCACCATACAAATACACATCATAAGTACCCTTACTGCTTTTCTACTCTGTCACCTAATCATGCTACAGGGCACTATTCTCGCTCCGCATTCTAGTACAGCCCGATAGACCTTTCCATGGTCATAGTTTTCCCAGAAAAAGAGGCTGCGACAGCAATGAAGAACTTCACAAGTTATAAATGAAGTCGTGAAAACGCACAGACTAATTGCCTAGACTAAAGGCCTAAACGAGTAATTGCACAGAAAGCCTGATAAACATCAACAAGAAAGAAGCGGGTCAGGTGTGAAGCAGAGAAACTCCTACTGAAACCTAAAACTGAAGCAGGACATTTCACAAGAGTTTCTGCTCCCGAGAAGTCGAATGCCAAGGAAGAAGTTCACGCATCGCCCGTTCCATCTGACACAGGAACGCGAGAATAGCTACTGAATTCCTAAAAAGTGGATGTCGGATTGCGGTGAGGCCGAGATAAAAGAAGCAAACAACAAAGAAGTTGAAGCAGTTTGGGACAACAGGTTCCCCATTACATTTAACTGATGAAATGCTCCAAACGTAGCCTGAATCAGCTTTTGACTTAGATGCTGATGTGGAAGACTCCACTGAAAGCAAGGGGTATTTAGATCGTCGAGTAACAAAGGTTCCTTTAAGAAGCCATCAGGCTACCGCGAAATAGTATACAGCGGCAACAAAGAGCGTATGCCTATTGTCACTGCCCGGAAGGAGTGCATGATTTGCTCCTAGGACAAAGCATCTCAAAGCTTCACTATGGCCAGAAAACAAGTAGAAGTAACTCGCATACGGAAGAGAAAGTGCCGTTCTTCATAGCGCAGCACTTGCTGGAGAGTGACAGTGAAGCCAGGGCCAGAGGACTCTCAAACGATACGCTCATATGCTTTCGCGTGAGCGACAACTCACTCAGAGCAACCTGGTGGAACGCAAAACGAGAAGGAAGCAATACCCACTTCGCAAAGCCTGTCCTACCCAATTACAGCACTCGAGCGAAGATGTGAATGATTTATGCAAGACCGAAAAATCGACGCAAGTAAATCGAGTTAAACTTCGTCATTCCTCTTGTGCAGAAGAAGAAATGCCTCTCGATTGATGATTGTGAGTAAGACCGATCAGGTACAAAATAAGACCAGTTTCCTTCAAATCTTCGCGCGATTATCGCATTGAATGAAAATACGAAGTAAGGAGGATGTGTAGTCTTTTCCCAGCCCGATTTCTCTAAAGAGTACGCCTAATATCCTGCCTATATCACCAATACATATATGCTTCGCTCGGTTAAACATCAAAGTTGTTAGATGCAGTTCTTCTCCATGCGCAACCTTCATTTCTTCCAAAAGGGCTAACGACGCAGTTCTCTGTCGCCTATACATCGCATTGCCTGTTCCGGATCAGCTGATATTTGAAATTGCTTCCTAATTTGTTGGCTAAAACCGCTTGCTCTGCCAAACTCATGCACTGACGTATAGCTGCACTACCCCTATCCGTTATGAAAGATACTTGGAACATTGCTATGCTTTCGCTAGTTCTTGCGGCATGCCTTTGTGAACTCGATCCTCTGACGTGTCTTGCTTACATGACTCATCTCGCTGCTCTTGCCAGTACAAACTTCACTACAAACTGGGATGGTTTCCCTATACCACTTCACACTATTCATTCCATTTGAAGTTTTTAATCTGTTTATTTGAATAGTAGCCACGTCGTGAGCTTTATGTACTGCGACTGTTGCTTAGGAATATTGAATAATTCGTCCATCTCGAGCTGCTCTAAAGTAATTTAGCAAGAATCGTCAATATAGTAGCACGAGGGTACCTAATAGGCATACGTGCTAGCACTGTACTTTCGATTCTGCCCCAGGAAGAATCTAAATAGATAGGACTGCTGCGAGACAATGGCCCATAGCAAATTCTCGGTTCCCTGTCGAACGTTGTTCTCTTCACTTGGAAATGTTACAACAGGCGGTTTTTCACCAAATTATTTGGTGCTCTTCACTCACCCGAGCGTCACTATATCCGTGTTATGCTCAAACAGCAGAGCTCCATTGCTTGAAGCGCTTCCTTTTGTTTACCTTGCTATAGAGTTAGATGGCCCTGCTACAGAGTTTTATTGGACTCTGTAACATGGTCCATCCGGAA